GCTTGGCCCGGCTGAAGGAGAGCGGCCGCCTGCTGGTGTGGGGTAACAACAACGTCGGTCAGCTTGGCCAGGGTCACACAGATGATGTGAATGAGCCAACTGTGCTGGTGGCCCGTCGTCGGCGGATCCTTTCCTGCGACGGAAGTGCCCAATTCACCATCCTGGTGGCCACCGAGCCCGAGTCCGAGGATGAGGACGATTAATGGCCTCACTTGTGAATCGCCGCTCGGGGGCGCCGCCTGGCTCTTCTTCCCCTCTGCCCATTTGGTGCATTCCCTTTCCAGATACACCACTGAATATGCATGTCCTGCGGAGGTGTTGCTTGTAGTGACACGGGGGGGGGGGGGGGGCTTGTCTCACATGGTGGGGATTGGAGAGGGGCATTGGTTTATTGGGTGGAGCCTGCTGTGGCCAGACGCAGACCGCTACTGGAACCGGAAGGGCGCCGGGTTCGGCAGACGGCCAGCCAGGCTGAAGGGCCATGCCCGATACAGGCGGTCACTGGCTTCCAGGATCTCTGGCCCGACGCGCGATGTATCCATCGGATCTATGGCCGCATGGTATGGGTCTTCGGTCGCTGGCCGAGCATCGTGCTGGGTGGACACCGGGCGCAGTGACTCGCGTGTGGATGTGACGCGGATGCGGTTGATCTCGGGGCTGTTGCTACTGCTGCCTCCCTCGCTGCCATCGTCACCCACCGAGTCCATGTCAACATCGTCGGAAGGCGCTGCATGTGACGGAGTGCCCGGTCCGGAGGGGGTGTCAAGCTGCGTGGGGCTGGCTCCCAGCGGCCGGCCGGTGCTTTGGTGGGCTCCTCCAACGATGCGCCCGGCGAAAGCCAGCATGCGGCGGGGGCACAAGGTGCCCAGCGCTCGCGGCCCCCACACATAGTACCGCACTGAACTCTCGCCAGAAGCGGAGGTGCCTCCGCCGCTGGAGGCCGCCTGGCCGGCGGCCATTTGCGAAAGAGCTTGATGCTGGGCCGCGGCCCGCCCCCGCAGGGGAGCCAAGTACCGCGCGTCGACCAGTTGCTGCAGGGCCACCTCAAGAGAACCGAGTTCCGGGTGGGTGGGTCCCGCCGGGCCGGTGTGGTGATCTTCGCCCCCCTGGTCGGAGGCCGATGCCAGCGAAGGGAGGCCCGTGGTATCTGACGGCACACCGATCCCCAAACGCGTCAGGTAGGCCAGAATCTCCGTAAAGGTGACCGGAGTCCCGGACCGGAGCAGAATAAACAGGCACACCAGGTGCCCGAGGCCGGCCAAAGCGGGCGACACATCGCCCGCCGGGCGCCGGGGCGGGGGATGATCAGGGGTGGGGGCCGGGATCGCCGGCCAAACCGCCAGCCGGGCGTCGGTTTTGGACAGCGCCTCCGACTGCGGGAGCGATGGGGTCGGGGGAGCCGAGGCATATGGATCTCGCCGGCCAAGTAGCAGAGACAGTCGGAATGGCGGGTTCACCACCGACCGGAGGATGAATGTGGCCTGCTTGGTGGTAGAGGGAGCGCCTGACTGTGACCCTTGTGTGGAGCGCTCTGGATGGGAGGAGAGCGAACGAGCGAGGGAGAGAGGGGGAGAGGCGGAGAGGGGGAGAGGGAGAGAGGGAGAGAGGGAGAGAGGGAGAAAGGCGGAGGAGTGGACCGACATGCAGGGTGACGCACAGCCAGGGAGACACATGCACGCAGGCAAGTTCACGCGCCGGTTAGGATATCATAGGGAGGCAGGCCGGAAAAGAAGGGGGAGCGGGGGGAGGGAGCCAGAAAGGAGAGAATCTGACGTACGAGTCCCCTGCGTCATGGGCTCATCGGCCTGGGTGTTATCCATCGGAACGGGAACCAGGTCCGGGCCGAAGGCATCAAAGAGCGCAGCCCGGGCATGGGCAACACACATGTCGGCCGTTGATCGAGGAAGGCGACCTGCATGAGAGAGGGCGGGGTAA